GGTTAGGAGAGAAGGTCCGATGGCCAAAGAAAAATGACAAGCCGGCTGGAAAACGAGACCCGAGTAAGCATTGTGATTTCCACAATGACATCGGGCACAACACCGAAGACTGCGTCGCATTACAGAAGGAGGTCGCATATCTTCTGAAAAATGGGTATTTGACAGAGATCATGTCAGAACGGACTAAGGCTGTTTTGGGACGAAATGACAAGTCGTCATCAAAAGCGGCCCAACCCCCGTCACCTTCGACTCCTTGTCAGGTAATTAATTCTATTGAAGGAGGCTCAGATTTATGTGGTCTAACGTATTCTGCTGCCAAGAGACACGCTCGGGATTATTCCCGAGACAAGTCAATGGTAGAAAAGCGACATGAAGACTGGAGAAACACTGCCATCACGTTCGAAGAGTTGGACATGCCTGATCCCAAGCAACCCCATCATGACACTTTGGTCATATCTCTAAGAGTTGCCAACTTTGAAGTGAAACGAGTCCTTGTTGACAACGGGAGAACGACAAACATAACTACAATGCGAATGCTGGAGCAAATGGGAATCAAGGAAGACGACATGTCAAAATCAGGATCCACCCTCGTCGGCTTCAACGGAGAACCAAGTCGAACAATAGGTAACATCTCCCTCCCTGTTTATGCTAACGGTCTTAACGTGCAGGTCAGGTTTGATGTAGTTCAAGACCTCCCAGCATATAACATGATCTTGGGGACCCCATGGTTGCACCAAATGGGAGTTATTCCATCAACATATTATCAGGTCGTCAAATTTCCAACGCCTTGGGGAGTGGAGTCCATTCAAGGAGATCAGATGGTGGCCAAGTCTTGCTATCAGACCGCCATGAAATCTACGACAAATACACCAACTTCAGCATAGCAACTAAAGGGTGACCCAGTTTTGGAAGAAGATGACGAGAAAACGGAAGAACTCGTCATTGATGACCAACACCCAGAACGGGTCATCCGCATCGGAAGAGGTATACCTGAACATATCAAGAGCAAGTTGATGGTCTTTTTCAGAGAACATAAAGACGTTTTCGCATGGAGCCATGAAGAAATGACTGGAGTTGATCCAAAAATCATCACACACAGACTCAATGTCAGTACGTCATGCAAACCTGTCAGACAACGAATAAGACACTTCGCCAGAGAACGGAGTGATATCATAAATCAGGAGGTGGAAGCACTTCTCCAACCCGGCAAGGCAAGAGAGGTGAGGTACCCTGATTGGCTAGCAAATGTTGTCATCGTGCGGAAGAAGGCAGCAACAGGCAAAAAAGCGAAGTGGCAGGTATGCGTGGACTTCACCAATTTAAACAAAGCATGTCCAAAGGATTCATTCCCAAGCCACATATAGACGTATTGGCTGACGCAACCGCTGGGCACGAGATACTCTCATTTATGGACGCTTTTAACGGATACCATCAGATCCAACTTCATCCCGACGATCAGGAAAAAACTGCCTTCATCACTGAGACAGGTACGCATTGTTATATTGTTATGCCTTTTGGTCTTAAAAATGCAGGTGCGACATTTCAGACGCTCGGCACTATGATGTTCAAGGAGCAAATAGGAAAGACTATGGAAGTACACATAGATGACATGATCGTCAAAATAAGGAAGTTGCAGGACCATATCAACCATCTGACAGAGTCGTTCAAAAAATTGAGAGAATAGAATCTGAAGCTCAATCCGTCAAAGTGTGCCTTCGGAGTGTCATCGGGGGAGTTTTTGGGCTATATTGTCAGTGAGCGGGGTAAAGAGGCGACACCGGAACAGGTCCGAGCCATTCTCGACATAGAATCGCCTACATCCGTCAAAGATGTCCAAAGACTGACAGGACGAGTGGCGGCTTTGAACCGTTTCATTTCCAAATCATCTGACAAGTGTCGCCTCTTCTACGACGTACTTCGCAAAAACAAGAAATTCGAGTGGACAGATCAGCATGAGCAGGCACTTCAGCAGTTAAAGGACTATACGACAAGTCCACTGTTGCTGACGAAACCAAAAGAAGGTGAGGAACTTCAACTCTACCTATCCGTGTCAGAACATGCTGTCAGCGCCGTGTTGACCAAAGAGGATGACGGGTTGCAGACACCAGTATACTACATAAGTAAGTCACTAAATGGCCCCGAAACCAGGTACGCCTTGCTTGAAAAATTGGTTTTAGCTTTAATTACTGCATCAATGAAGTTGCGTCCTTTGAATCACACACTATTTGCGTACGGACTAACTATCCCATGAAGTCAATCATGAGGAAACCCGAGTTGTTAGGTCGCATGGCCAAATGGTCAATTCAATTGGGAGCCTACGACATTAGCTATGAGCCACGAACTGCTTTGAAGTCCCAGACGCTTGCTGATTTTGTGGCTGACTTTAGCCCTAAGCTCCAAACTGAAGCTGAAAAGGAGACATGCCTCATCACGGACGGTTTGCCTCAACAAAAGTGGACATTGTACACCGACGAGGCATCAAACCTGAATGGAGCAGGCCTAGGCATAGTACTAAAGTCGCCACAGGGGGACATTATGCTCCAAGCCATTCATTGCGACTTCAACGCCACAAACAATGAATCGGAATATGAAGCGCTGATCGTAGGCTTAACATTGGCAAAGGATTTAGGCGTCAAGCTGCTCCAGGTAAAATGTGATTCATTATTAATAGTTAATCAAGCTAACAGTGTTTATGCAGCGAAAGACCCCAAGATGACCTCCTATCTACAAATCGTCACGCAGTTGACAGCATGGTTCGACGAAATCACACTTGAACAAGTGCCAAGAGAAGAAAACACACAAGCAGACGCCTTGGCTGCAATCGGTTCGTGTTTGGGGGCAGAAGTCAACAGTAACATCCCTTTCGTCCACTTGACAAATCCGGCGATTGACAGATCGGAATCAATCAATACTATCAATCCATCCTCACAAGACGACTGGATGCAGCCGTACATAGCATACTTGAGACATAATACCCTACCAGCTGACAAAAAGGAGGCTAAGGCGTTCCTCTCCAAGGTAACAAAATTCTTGTTAATTGACGATGTTTTGTTTAAAAGATCTAAGGCAGGTCTGTACCAAAGATGTTTGGCACCTCAAGAAGCCGTCAAGCAGTTAAGAGACCTTCATGAAGGAGAATGTGGGAACCATGCTGTCGGAAGAAGCTTGTCCAATAAAGCCCTTAGATTCGGATACTATTGGCCAACCATGAGACAAGACGCAATCGTCTTTACCAAGAGTTATCAGCCTTGTCAAAAGCACGGACCGATCTGTCATCAGCCCTCAGAGTCACTCCATCCAATTCTTTCACAATGACCTTTTATGAAGTGGGGGATGAACATTGTGGGAAAGCTACCAGAAGCTCCAGGACAGAAGGTTTACATGTTGGCGATGACGTCAGGTACGTGATGACCAGGTAATCTCTTTTATCAAATGAAATATACTTTGCTGGTTTGGCATCCCGTCAGAGATCGTGTGTGATAACGGGTCCCAGTTCATAAGTGCAAAAACCCGACGCTTCTGCAAAAGGTACAATATCAAGTTGGAAACATCAACTCCTAGGTACCCGCAATCCAATGGGCAGGCTGAGTCCAGCAACAAAATCATTGTGTCCAATTTGAAGAAAAGACTTCAGAAAGCCCAAGGCAGGTGGGCTGACGAGTTGACCCTGATATTATGGGCTGACAGGACAACTCCAAAGAATGCAACCGGACAAAATCCTTTTTCCTTGGTGTATGGGTGTGAAGCGGTCATACCAATAGAGGTAGAAATATCATCCTCAAGATATGGGCTTATGACCGAAGAGCGGAACAACCTAGAATTAATATATGTTCTGGATACCATTGACGAAATTAGAGAGAGGGCCAAGATCCGTCTACAATCTTATCAACAAATGGTGTCCAAGAGCTTTAACAAAAATGTCCGAGCAAAGGTTTTTCAGAAAGGAGACTGGGTTTTGAGAAGAGCATTTGGAAATGAAGCAAGCGGAAAGTTCAGCCCCAATTGGGAAGGCCCATACAAGATTGTCGACATTATTGGGCAGGGGGCATATCGCTTGGAATAAGTCGATGGTAAACAAGTCCCTAGAAGTTTGAATGCGGTACACCTAAAACTTTTTCATTTCTAAGCTCCATTATGTCTTATTTATTCATTCGGACGATTTACTAACTTAAGCATCGGAGGGCCGTTGGCTTAAGGCCAATGGCCGAACCTGATGACGCTTTGAATGCAGAAAATGGAACGAGACGTCAGGTCAAATGAAGCACCACTAGTAAGTTACTTTAAATATTTCACACTTTCTTGTAAGTCCATTTAGCAACCAATGACGCATAGAGTACTACGAATCAGTCAAAGCGTCATGATGAGACTTAACAATATCGATCGGTACGTCTTTTTTGAGCCTCGTCATATTTTTTGATTTGGTCTTTGACAAAACATCTACTGTAATCTAGCATCTCATCCCGTTTGTAAGTCTGAATAATTAAGGCCGTTGATTAGTTAAAATTTTGTTTCTTTAGTACTCTGTACACTTCCATTGAATTATTTGGTAATTGCTTCCAATCTCGAATGCTTATTTCATTTATAAGTTTGAATTCAATAAATTCTTAATTCACTAAGGAAGTGTTCCGTAATTATCTTGTGAATGAAGAAGGTTGTGACATACTGAGTGTAGAATTTATATCTCTTACTAAAGAGTGATTTGTCGCTTTTACTGACTTAACCATCGGAGGGCCGTTGGCTCAAAGCCAATGGCCAGCTTTGACGGTTTGTAATGAGTGCACGACTATGTTAAGACAGTCAACTGTGGAGTAATTCACAAAGGATGGAAAGCGTCATTCACGCTCTTACCAGATGGGTACTGTACACAGACATCAAAATGGGAAAGAGCTGGGCTGCCCATGAGAATATCATGGATCACAGTCCCAGCCGGCCCTTGCAACATATATGTTTTTGGCCAAAATCGACACACATACATGACAACACACATATTTACACATATATGACAACGCTAGTGCACATATGCTAGAGAACGAAAGCAAGCACATCAAAGTTTTCATACCAAACATAACAAAACAAAGCCAGGCCTTGGATAAACCACCAAGTGCACAGGCTAAAACCGTCATAAGTACTTCCCATCCTGGATAAACCACCAGGATACCGGGAACAAAGTCAGAAGTGTTTTGCAAAAGTGTCATAAAATGAGGCAGTTTAAGAATGTTTGGAGTCCGGTTAAAAAAAAAAAGAATGTTTGGAGTCAGCCTCACCATCGGATTGACCCACATCGAAGCCGTCCTCAGCAATAGGGGGATCCATTTCCTCCTAAACTTTTTTCCAGGTAGCAATGTACTCTTCAGCGTTCTAGTTAGTTGACTCACCCACAAGGAAAGAAGCCATAAGGTCTCCCCTGGTTTGCCCGACGTAATAACAAACCGCATCAGTGACTTCTTGCTTCTTTTTCCGTCCATAAGCTTCCAACGCTTTAGTTTGTCAACAAGTCTTGAGATTTGAGTGGATTGAGCTGACACCTCCCCTTGCAAATCCTGGACCAGCTTTGCATTCTCTTCCGCTAGGGAGCGAGAAATTGACTCCTAACGCCTAGACTCGTCGAGAGCCTTCTCTAGCAGGGCCACTCTCTCAGCAGCAGCCAGACTCGCTTGCATACTCTGGTGGACCAGTTAATCACGTTTAGGAAGCTAGTTACAAGAGAAGAATGAAATTAAAAAGTATTTACATGAAAGGCATAAGCTGATGACGCAGATAACACTCCAGTTATGGGCAAACACTTAGAAACATCAGGAGAAGAGGGGAGCATGACACGTCTTGCAAGCTGTAGAAATCATAGGAAAGTGACAAGTTTATATCCAACAGCTTGGAAGCGGAGCAGCTTTAGTCTCTTGAGGCCGAGGGATATTGGGCTTTGTCTCGTCAATTGTGACAACCTTGGGAAGTTTCAGGGGAGTAGAGGCCAATCTGGGAGAGGCTCTTTTCTCCCTGGAAGCCAAAGCAAGTAGTTCATGAGCGGATGGAACCAAACGAGAACTGGAAGAGGACGTGGCTGCTGCAGGAGCAAAAAAGAAAAAGAAAGTAAGAAATATCCACATTCAGAGGATTCAAGTCAGAGGACATATTAATACTCACCAGTAGGTGGAAGGGGGCATTTGTTGGGAACAACTGTCTGTGAACCTTCGCCCACCGGAAAAACGACCTGCATGGGAATATACACATCTGCATTTTCTTCCTCAATCCCTTTAGAACCGTCGGAATCCTGTTCTGATTCCTCGATAGAGACTACAGAGGAGCTTGCCATCAGTCTACTTTTTGATTTGGAAGTACAGATAGAACGTCTTAGCCCGGTGGGTCTAGTAGAGGTAGAAAAAGGGAGCATACCTGAGGATTCAGCGACCAGGTTTACAAACCAGCGATCTTTTACAGAAATGGCATGGATTTGCGTTCTTCTTTTACCCGATTTCGGCCCGGATGGGAGGGAAATTGCTTTCTTTTCTGAAACACAAAGGGAAATATACACAATGATAATTTGCCAAACATACAGGGGGGCAGGTACATTCTAAAACAGAAATTGAAGGGTTGTGGTAAACTTTTACATACCTTTGCGCAGATTGTCTTCAAGAAATGAACCTTCATTCCCGAGTGAGTTTTTGAGAACGAAAAAATACATACCCATCCAGCCTCTATCGTTGGCCTTATCCACCTTATGGATGAGTCTTGCTTTCTTTTCCTTCAAGCCTAGGGTAAAGCGTCCGGGTCCTGAGGTGCGGAGTTCATAGGTGAACCCAAGGTCTTCAAACTCAAAAGGGATAACATATTTCTCACTCAAAACGTCTAGCGCTCGTAGAATCCTCCATACTTGGGGCATGAGTTGAGATGGGGAAATATTAACGAATTCCAGAAAGCCTCAGATTAGAGAAAAAAAAAAAGGGAACTTGACGTCGATTTTGAAAAGGTAAAGAAGAAAGTTCACCCATCCCGGGCAAGACCAATCCAGGCGTTCGTTGGCTGGTGGGAAACGTATGACGGCAGTAGGGGGAAACCAGGCTGAATTTTGAACAAGGTCAACTTGAGCCTCAGTAAGTTTCGCTTGTTTGGAACTCTTCGGTTCCAGGATATGCTGTGGGGTGAAAGTGATAGATGCCATGGCGAGCAGAATGGGATGAGGACGGCGAGATGCATAGAAGATTTTTAGAGAAGGAATGAGGATAGTTCAAGATGCGTGATGATGGTTAAGCAGGTTTCAAGAGGTCATGATGTCAAGTTGGGAATTCCAAGAGTTAATCGGCGCATTCAATTTTCGAAATCTCTGCCATTTAACTCTAGGAATTGGGGGCAATTGTTGGTGTGTGAAAATATTTGTAGCAGCCTATCCCATGAACGATAGCCAAGTAGGGTTCGAGCCCAATAATGTGGAAGGAGTCCAACTTGAGACAGAAGTGGAAGACTTGAATCACTTGATCGTGGTGGCTAAAGGATAAGCACGACTTGAAGCTTGGAAAGGAAGAAAATATTGAAGCACGTTCAAAAAGCCCTGCGAATAAGGTGGACAGTTGGCTCAAGGATAGGGAGAAAAAATTAGTTTAAATAGATTACTAGAAAAACGAGAGCATTCATTCTGATTCACACTACTACTTGCCATTGCTTTCGAATTTCACTTAAGCATTACTATCTCTTGTTATTGTTTCATTCACTAGTTACAAAGCATTAATAGTTCATATCATAGTCTCTTGCACGAGTCCCAGATCCTTACTCTAATTGTTAGAGGAAATTATCTACTTCCTGTCTAAATAGTAAAAAACGATCATAAAGTGCACAAAGTAATAAAAATCATGGAGGGAGTATTTTATTAAGAAACTAGGGAAAATGATATGGAAAAATAGGTAAAATGATACTTCCTTTGACCATTAAAACTTTGTCAACTTTCCTCTTTTGGATGTCTCACTAACTTTGTCACTTTCCCTTTTAAGTAAAGAATTTGTGGTTCCACTTAATTTTCTCTCCTCGGCACAAACCTCAACCACCTGCACCCAGTTTTTACTTTATTAATCCTCATGTTGGTCAAACTTGACAAAGTTTTAAGAGATGGAGGGAGTATCATCTATAGTAACTTCACTCAATTCAACTGGATAAAATATGTTTTTATATAAGTTCCTGCAAACATGATAATTTTACTTTTTAGAAGGTCTTAACTACATATTTGGAAACACAAATAATTAGATTTACATCATTTTAACTCTCATATTAGCCTCGAAAAAATATTTTAAATGAGACTAAAATGCAAAAGGGACTTCAAAAATTATACAAGAAACTTCGAAAACTAATTCTTTGATGTTGATCTAATTGAGAAAAACAAATCTTAAAAACATTTCAAAATCATGAATGTGTATTTTATTTATGTATCAATTTATGAAATGAGTTCATTTAACTCTATAAGTCAATATTTAAAAATAAAGGTAAGATGTGTTCAATAGCAAGACTACATGTGTTAAAATTTGCAAAATACAAATTTGTCTTAATGTTATCTCAGGTTTATGTTCACTTTTCTAATTAAGGATATTTTCAATTGGAATCAGATTTTTGTCTCATTTATGGAAGATAAAGTTATTTTTACTGTAGGTAAATATTAATATAATCTTGATAGATTATGGACGAGAGTTTCAGCTCTCGGAAAGTTTTATTAAACTATTTATAAATAATGCATTTCAAGGTTACATTTTGGGAAAGTATTGTCACGTGTCAGCACAATAATAACTCTCCTTGAATAAATGTAAGATGTGTTTCGTAGCAAAACTAAATGTGTTAAAATTTGCTAAATACAAATTTGTCTTGATGTTATTTCAAATTTATATTCACTTTTCTAATTAAAGATATTTTCAGTTGGAATCAATTTTTTTTCTCATTTATGAAAGTTAAAGTTATTTTTACTGTAGTGTAAATATTAATATAATCTTGATATATTTTGGCCGAGAGTGTCAACTCTCAGAAAGTTTTATTAATCTATCTATAAATAATACATTTGATGGTTACATTTTGAAAAAGTATTGTCACATGTCAACACAATAATAATTCTACTTGAATAATTCTTATGCTAATTTCTTAATTCGAATAAACAAAAACATTATAAGTATATGATGCTACTTATGTAAACGTCATGCTTATTTGTAATTATTTTTTATTGAATTATGTTCAAACACAAATTCTCACAACTATTAACTCATGGGCTAATACCCTTTAACCCATGAAATTTCAGTCTAATTAAATCCTCTGGCAGCAAGACTTGGGCCGTGGTCGTTCGTACGGCTGTTTGAGTTGCAACTTTACCTCAAGGCAAAGAACTCGGACATGGGGCATTCTTCAAATTCAAAATTGCAGGTGCAACCTTTGGACGGTCAGATACAATTGGATCCAACTCACTTTCACAATCATCAAACAGGTGTTGGGAAGAAGCTGGTTTTATTTGAAGGAAGTGAAAAACTTTTCTTCCTCCAGGATGGTTACGATTCAATTAACATTGAATCCAAAACCTTTAAAAAGAAGGCATTGAAGACTGAATTGTTTGTATTGCAAACTGAGTTGAAGAAGACAAAAGAAACTTATGTTTTTTTTTGTTTTCAAAAGAAACTTGTGTACCAAAGATAGAATTGAAAGTGTAGTAGCTAGATTTGTAGCTGTTGGATTTGTTTTAGTTGGTGTATTTGTGTTAATTGCCTCAATCATTGTAAGTAAAGTGTATTAGTTAGTTTATGGTGTGGTTTTTAAAGGGGATGTCCCCACTTGGGTTTGAAACTCTTTTTTGAATTGGTCCTTTTTGTGTTAATAAAGTGTGTGTGATGGTCATCATTTTAGAAGTGTATTTATCATTGTTAGATATTAGTTGCAGGTATTGATTTTATATTAGTTATTATGCATTAAACTGGTAAGTATAGTGACCTGAAATTCTGAAATCAGTTCTGAAATTTTAAGTGTAGTGCACTTTAAGTCTATACATTAAACTGTTATTGCATTAAACTGAAAATGTAAGTATAGTGCAGTGTTAAATGTATGCATTAAACTGAGACCAGCTCTGAAATTTTACATTTCTTCTGATTCCAAAACGAATCAGCTCATTGAAAATGTAAGAATGAAGTGTTAAGGCTATACATTTTCTAAATACAATGCTTTGGATGTGATTCTAACTTAAATCAATGCAGGGACTGTAATCTAACTTGAGTAACCTTTAAATCCCTTTCGGTGCACTGAAATCAGCACTTGAGTTGTTTTATAAACCAACCGTGATATAACTAAAATCAACACTTGAACCATATCTATCTGTAATCAACTGAAATCAACACTTGAACCATATCTAACTAATAACTATAATAAACTGAAATCAACATTTGAACCATAAATCACAGCATATCAACTGAAATCAACACCTGAACAAACACATGCGGGGACTAGTCGGATGCCTAGAACGATTTTTAGCACAGAGACTAAACCTAATGCTATACCCTTCAATTACAGCATATCTCACAACTTGCTTTTTGAAAATTTCAGGTGAAGCAAACTTCATGCCCACTTTCCATACTAACATTTTGAGTGTAGCATCATTATCGACTTTGTATGTAACACTCTCCTTCTTCACACCACTCTCACCTCCATCCTCACTTCGAGTTGGTGTGAGCAAATAATTTTCAGAATTATCACTATCATAAAATGGTTCAAATCCATCAAATTGATTTTTAGCAAGCATATTCGAATTGTAGCAACTCAGCTTTTTTCTATTACCAATCCATTCCTCATCACTAGAAGAACCACCACTACAAATATCCTCTCTTTGAACAGTTTCAAACTTATTTTCTTCACTCCCTTCGATTTCTTCAATAAAATGGCTCACCTCCATATTCCACCACAATTATAACCCTAATCTATCAACAACAAAGTCAAAAGTAATCACAACATATCAACATACTTTGAAACGCGACTCTCAGGTAGCAAACATTTTGTCTTAGCTCGCTTTGTCATCGTCTCTTCTATCTTCTGTGATCTCAAGAACGACGGTCTCCTAGGGGAATAGTTTATTTCTTGAAATTTCCCTGGTACAGGCTTTCCCTAATTAGAAGCATGGATTTTAATGTTGGTGACAACTCTGGTGCCCATTTAAAAATGGGGTACCGTACCTACCATTCACTTGATTGGTCCACATCATTATATCATTTTTAATTTAGATTTAAATAATTTAACTGCAACATTCTCATTAGTGCCCGACAAAGATATAGTACCTTATGGCTACCATAGAATCTACCTTTAATATAATGTTTTCTCCAAATAGAAATTTCATGGCTCACGTGGATTATAAATGACAGCTAGATATTTTCTTGCCTGTTAAGGGTCTGTTTGCAACAGCTTCTGCTTTTAAAAAAGTGCTTTTTTTAATGAAATGGGGAGAAGTGATTAAATAAAAGTTGATGATGTTTGAGAAAAAAGTGATTTTGAAAAGTAAAAGTGGGTAGTGTTTGGTAAAATAAGTGTTTTTTGTGTAATAGAAAAAATAAAAGCACTTTTGACGCGGAAGCCGAGAAAAATAAAAGTTGTAGTGTTTGGGAAAATAAGTGCTTTTTTAAAGCCAAAAGGTGAGAAATGCTTTTTTAAAAGCAGTTGCAAACCAACCCTAACTCAACTTTCTCATTTTGAGGGTATTACTTTAACATTGACAAGTATATGGTGTGGACCTCACTCTTATGTTAAGTTGGGGGTATTTTATTTATTTTCCCTTTTTGTAGAGATGAATTCTGATTTTGATCTAACACATAGTTTTATTGGAACAGAATTCTTAGGTAAGTGCTATAAAAAAAAAGAGGGCAGGAAGCAACGGCCGTCAATACTTAGGATGTTTTTACTTGGATTGTAATTTGCTGGTCTGGTCTGGTCTGGTCTGATCTGGTCTGGTCTGGTCTGAACTGGTCTGGTCTGGTCTGGTAAGGTCTGGTTTCTTTGTATTTTTATAACTATCCAAGTCTGGTCTGGTCTGGTCTGGTCTGAACTGGTCTGGTCTGGTCTGGACTGGTCTGGTCTGGTCTGGTCTGGGGCAAATTACAGTCCAAGTAAAAACATCCTTATTCCCTCCGATCCTTTACTTGATGAGTGATATATATATGGAGCATTTAATTAAACAGCCCCAACACTGAGAATGATTCTTTGTAATTAAGGTCAGTCAATCAGGATTCAGGACCATGCATCAATCATATATAATAAACGGCCTTCAATCATCCCTACAAGATTCTCCACAACTTGGACCGCGTTAAATTCATTCCCAACTGATCGATATCTATTATAAGTACCACACCAGGATACCCTCTCCTCACAGCCAAATTGAACCAGAAAAAAAAACACTAAACACCCACATCCATCATCAGCTCCCATCAGATTAGAATTGAAGTTTTTTTTTTCTTTATCAAGAGTTAATGGGCAAGATGTCAGGGTTTTCTCTATTCGGGCTGTTCAAATTAAAGAGAAAGAAGGCCCGGCGGGGCGAAGGAGATCACGACAAGGAAGCGGTTTTTGTGAAGAATGCGGCGTACAGAGTATATACGAGCGACGAAGACCGTCTCAATTGGGTGGCCGACCCCCAGATTGATGCCAAAGCCACTGCTTTCATCATGCAGTTTCGGAACAATAACGTCGACGCCACAGTCTCTGAATAACCATGCATCATCATATATTCATATCTTCCATATATGGCACCGATAAATATAGATACTAGTACATCCTAATTACGTATTATGAATTTATTTACTTTAATTACATAAAAGTACATATACATGTTCACTATGTTTTCTTCGGTTTCATTGTTAGCTAGCTTCTTCAACTTACCGGCAAGCTTAGCTTTGTTTCATTCCTTCTATGTGCATATAATGTTAATTACTTAGTACGTACTCCTTAATTACTTACTCTGTATGTTATTTATTTCTTCTATTATTTCTTCTGGATACTTTATTATATACTCCCTCCGTCCCATTTTGGTTGTCCTACTTTCCTTTTTGGGTTGTCCCAAAATGAATGTCTTGTTTCCTTTTTTGGCATGAAATATGTGGTTCTTATTAATTCACTTTATTCTACTCAAATCTCAACCACAACTTTTACTTTTCAACCACTTTATTAATAATCGTGCCAAATTGAAAGTGGACAACCATTATGGGACGGAGGGAGTATAGAATTTGGCGCAAATGAGAACAGAGAAAAGTGTTAAATAATCCGTTCTCCTACTCTATGGAATCAACCAAGTCCTCATAGTCTACTTTAAGTTTCTTCAATTACGTCCTCTACTTCGAAAATTTCATCACAACCCACCCGTCAGTAAGTTACCTGCTAACGGGGTGCTCACGTGGCCTGACATGGCGCCTATGTGGCACCCCCACATGCATCACATTTTTTGCTCTCTCTCTCTCTCTCTCTCTCTCTCTCTCTCTCTCTCTCTCTCTCTCTCTCTCTCTCTCTCTCTCTCTCTCTCTCTCTCTCTCTCTCTCTCTCTCTCTCTCTCTCTCTCTCTCTCTCTCTCTCTCTCTCTCCATGTTCCCCTTTCTTCCTTGTGCAGACCAGTTGCCCTACCGCTGCACATTTCCGATGAGAGACTAATGAGAAAAACGTTCACAAATTTCTCCGTCGGAGACCTTGTGACGGAATCCATAAACTCCTGTGAGCCATCTTCGATGAAAAGCATAGCGATTGGCTATGAACATAGTAGTAGAGATTCTTCATCGGAGCCGTCGGGGTCATGTAGAGTTCCCGTTAACATCGCTCTAGAGATAAACTCAAAAGGATGATCTAAACACGTTGGTGATAGAGATGTTGCAAACTCATGTCTTCCTTCTAATTCTCGAATCGCATATATAATAGATGAGCCTATAGAAGTTCTCGCATGGTCACAAAGACCAGCAAGTAACTCATAAAAGGTGTATGTGTCCTGAAGAATTGAAAAATCATTTGGGAGCTGATTTACAAGACACGAAGTGATCAATAATAGTTCAGTGCTTTGGATTTGTGGACCACTGTAGTCAATATCAGCCATCTCAGAAGGAGACACTGATAATTGATGTGATTCCCCATGAAATGGGTATAATCATATGTATGTTGGGATACAAATGAGTGTTCTAGGGTGGGGTTGTTCACGCGCCATTAGACTAGATGCAACGACTTCTACCTGAAATCATGTACATATGAGGTTTGTTCGGTGTATTTTGAGTGATTTTGGATATCTCTGTTGCTTGCGCGATGGAGGAGGAAGATGTCATTAATTTTCTTGTTCTCCCTCACTTGAGCTTTCTGCTTCCTCACTCTGAGAATATTCACTCGTGTCTAGATTTGTCCATTGGGTAGGCTTAGTTGGGTTCAACTGAGCCATTGGGACTTATCTATCATTGCTCCGTCGCCTCAATAAGAGCACTCGGTAGGATACACATTGTGGATGTTTTTGATTGGGCAGAAATTTCTGGTTTGATCTGTCGGGTCTAGTCTGGTTTGGTCTGAACCGGTATGGTCTAGTCTTGTAAATTAAATGTCTGGTTTTTGTGTATTTTAAAATTGTTGAAGTTTTCTTTGTTTATGTATGGAGATGTTTGGAATTGATTCTGCTTACACTTCCTTTTTAAAATCACAGGTAGAATCAGAATAAGTTTTTTATATGTTGGTCCCCCCTGCTTCTAAAAAACTACTTGCGGGAGTAATTTTGAGCACTTATCAGAAGCATTTCTGCACTTTTAACCAAACACTCACATATATATCTAAAACAATTTTAAAAAGTAGATCCAAACACCCCCTTTGTTTGAGTCTGGTGTGGTATTCGGTTTGGTCAGGGACTAAAGTCAGTCCAAATAAGAACATTTTTACTATATTAGGCGTTGGGAGGAGAAAAATGAAACTCCCCCTCAAGACGTGCCTCCTTGAGTAGCCTTTACATTGTACGTTGTTCGGCACCAAGAGGAAAAAGAAACGCATCCTTCAGAAGTTGCAAGTGGCGTTGTTTTTCGACTAAGGAGAAAGCAAAAAACTATCCCTCAGAATGTGCTTTCATCGTTGTATGGCACCAAGAGGAGTTAAAAAGAAACATTGATAAATAAGAATGAGTAATTTAGTTCTATATAATAGTAAAATTCGTGGACATCTTACTCACATAGTGGTGCGAATTTGATTTATGCTTTATTAGTTCATTATTATGAATTTTGTTTGGGTAGATTAAACATAAGTATTTGGACAGATTATTTTGGGTAAATTAAGTATACTTTTTAAAATAAAATTTCCCACATCTAAACTCTAAGGAAGTTTTTGTGCCTATATATATGGAACACCCCCTTTTTTATGATTAAAAGGATAAGGAGGAGTGACTGCACTAAAGTCGTTGTGTGCCTCAAAATAAAAAACAATACTCGCACTAATACCGTAGTATAACGTAGTAAGATTCGTATCCGCAGAGAAATGAATACTTTTCTTTTTATTGAAACTAGTAAATAAAAATGGGGGTTTTGGGATTGAGTGATTTAATTTAAGTAAACACTAAGATGAACGACTTATGTGATTTTAATTAATTAATTTGATAAAAGACTTGGCTTTGCTACTTTTCACTTGTTAATATGTTTGATGATCCTTGTTATATCTATAACTTATCTCCTCTCGAATACTCAATCGAGGAATATCTCCAATTCATCGAGGGTAGTTATTAACAACGACCGTTCATTAATAACCCATACTATTAGCCAAGTATAGAACACCACCATATACCGACTTGATAGTAGCATTTAATATCTTAACTCCTTGATAAAATCAATTGAGATTGATAACCTCAACACAACGGTTTTGGTTTAACCAACACAATTATTAATCCCTCTTAAGATTATTAACCACGACCATGCATTAATAACCCGAAGTTACTTACTTGTGAAACCATCAATGATTAACCACCGGTTCGTTGAACGTTTCTAGTAGTTATTAATGTCGAGATGTTAACTAATTATCATCTTACTGATACTCCCCAACATTAATATAGAGATAGATTAAGGGAAGAATTAATATTCGAGGGAAGAAGTAAGAAAATAACTCACAACTTTAACATTCAACAAGCTTC